GCATTTGAATAAATAAATAAAAAATATAAGATTTAAAGACATAGTGTAGTCTTGTTGTCATGAGACCATAAGAACCTAAGAATGTTCATACTGCGTTAGACTAATGGTCCATCTAGCTCAGTATCCTGTCTTCCAACAGCGGCCAATGCCACATGCTTCAAAGGGAATGAACACAGCTGGGCAATCCACCCGCTGTCATTTAGTCCCAGCATCTGTCAGGCAGATTTTTATCATAACCCTCCTTAGTTGTCTCTTTTCTAGGCTGGACAGTCCCAATCTTTTTAATCTCTCCTCATATGGAAGCTGTTCCAAGCCCTTTCGTCATTTTTGTTGCCCTTCTCTATATCTTTCCATTTCTAATATAGCTTTTTGGGGATGGAGAGACCTGAACGCATGCAGTATTCAAGGTGTGAGCATGCCAGGGCTTTATAAAGTGGAATTATGATATTTACTGTCTTATTATCTAGCCCTTTCCTAATGGTTCCTAACATTCTGTTCGCTGTTTTGACTGCTGCTGCACACTGAGTGGATGTTTTCAGAGAACTGTCCACAATGACCCCAAGCTCTCTTTCTTGAGTGGTAACAACTTGTTTAGATTCCCTTTTTTATTGGTGGAATTATGTTGATGTGCACTACTTCGCATTTATCAACACTGAATTTCATCTGCCATTTTGTTGCCCAGTCTCCCAGTTTTGCGAGGTCCCTTTGAACCCAGTCTGCTTTGGACTTAACTATCTTGAGTAAGTTTATATTGTCTGCAAACTTTGCCACCTCTCTGTTTATCCCTTTTCCAGATCATTGGTAAATATGTTGAACAGCATTAGTCCCAGTATAGATCTTTGAGGGACACCACTATTTACCTCTCTCCATTCTAAAAACTCACCATTTATTTCTCCCCTTTGTCTCCTGTCTTTTTACCAGTTACTGGTCAATGAGCGGATCTTCCCTCTTATCCCATGACTCCTTACTTTGCTTAAGAGCCTTTAGTAAGGGATCTCATCAGAGACTTTCTGAAAGTCTAAGTACATTATATCCACTTGATTGCCCTTGCCTTGCCCTGCCCTTGCCTCTCACCACCTCTTTTACTCTGTTGTTTGGCCATGGTAGCCCTTTTTTTGGGTCCTCTTACTATTTTTTTTTCCATTTGGGGGGTATACGTTTAAGTTGAGCCTTTATTATGATGTTTTAAAAAAGTTTCCATGCAGCCTGCAGGCATTTCACTCTTGTGAATTTTTCCTTTTAATTTCCATTTTACTAGCTTCCTCATTTTGTTTCATTCCCCTTTCTGAAGTTAAATGCTACTGTGCTGGGCTTCTTTGGTATTTTCCCCCTCAGAAGGATGTTAAATTTAATGACATTACGGTTGCTATTACTGAGTTGTTCAGCTAAGTTCACTTCTTGGACCAGGTCCTGTGCTCCAGTGAGGACTAAATCAAGAATTGTCTCTCCCCTTGTGGGTTCCAGGCCAGCTACTCCAAGAAGCAGTCATTAAAGGTGTCTAGTAACTTTATCTCTAAATCCCACCCAGAGTGATGTGTCCAGTCAATATGGAGGTGGTTGAAATCCCTATTATTGTTGAGTTTTCTATTTTTGTGGCCTCTCTAATCTCCCTGAGCATTTCACGGTCACCATCACCGTTCTGGTCAGGTGGTCGGTAGTAGATTCCTATTGCTATATTCTTATTATTCATGCATGGAGTTTCTATCCATAGAAATGGATAGAACTCTGTGATACAGTTTGATTCATTTAAGATTTTTTACAATACTTGACTCTGGGCTTTCTTTCACATATAGTGCAACGCCTCAACCAGCACAACCTACTGTCATTCCTATATATGTTGTACCCTGGTATTACCATGTCCCATTGATTATCATAATTCCACCAAGATTCAATGACGTGCTGTGATGCCTATTATATCAATATCCTCATTTAATACCAGGCACTCAGATTCACTCATCTTAGTATTTAGACTTCTAACATTTGTCTGACTACAGAACTGAAATGTTGCCAACCCTGATGAGTCTTATGATGTTTCATGGTTTTTCTCAAAGCCCCAACTCCTGGAGTCATGTGATAACATGAGAATCACAGCTTTCCTCAGGGTGGGGTGAAGAGAATTTCTACTTCTCGCTGTCATGGAGAAAAGAGTGAAATTGTGACCCACATGTGACATAAAGGCTCAGAAACCCAAAGGCAAAGAAAGAGATCCCAAAATGTATTATTACTGTTTAAAATCTCAGAATTGTTAAAACAATCTCATGATTTTTGGGAGGGGGGGGCTAAATCTTGATTCTTGCATGCTTGGGATGGTTGGTATGAGGACTGAGATCCAGGAACTCATGCACTGCTATCCTAGTTCTGACACTAACTCACTGTGTGACCTTGAGCTTCTGATTTAACCCCTCTGTGTCAGTGATGTTCTGTCAGTATTTTAACCAGGGACATGCACAGCAATACTCTGTGATCAATTTGTCTCCATGGTGGAAATGCTCACAGAGAGGTGAGGAGGAACTGGGGAAATGTATCCTTTTATTTTTCCATTGAACTTTCCTATAACTAAAGCCAAAGCAGGAGGCACCACCATTTGGCAAACAAACTTCTCAATAGCTGCAATGTGTTGGAAATGTTGACACTTGGATCTCAAAAATAAAATACAGAGTATATTGATGGTACGGTGTAGTGTTCAGCCAAGAAAGGGGTAAGATGAAGACCTTGTAGAAGGAATGTCCTTTTATGGGACTTTTTTTCATAAATATCTGTGATTAAAAACAACCTGGCCCATTCCAAAAGTAGAATAAACTGCACTTTAGATATATTTTGTTGAGCCCGTGGGATACGTCATTTTGCCAAGGAAGGGTAGTGGTAACCAGAGTGGGGCTGAGATCCATAAGAGGTGGTGGAATCGTTCCACTCATTCTTTTATTTTAGTGACAGGATTTTCACAAGGCCTCCCGGGAGCCCTAGCTAGCTCCCTCCAGCACATCAGTGCTCTGTTTCTCAGCTGCCACATTTGAAACGACACGACTAAGTCTTGTTGGACACCTCATGAGAGAGTTGAGAGGATTCATTTGATGACATATGTAAAACACCTGTATAAATGCTTAGTGCCATTCTATAATAGGAGGAAGAAAAGGCAATGACAAGGTAAATTCTGGGCCTTCAGCCTTGGAATCTCAATCTTGTGAAGTGCTAAGTGATCTCAGTGCCCACTGAAACCAATGGGTTTTCAGAGTGCTCAAAGCCTTAAAGGATTGGGTCCTGCCAGTATTTCTTTGAATTTCTGCCAATTCTACTTACCGCTAGAAGGCTTTTAGGAAAGAAATACAATATATTTTTCTGCTAAACAAACTTGATGATATTGAGCAGTGGGTGATAGAATCAAATACTATTCCACTGTACTTTAGAGTTAAAACCCAGGATATTTGTAGTATAAAAATAAATCTCTCAGCATAAAGGAATGAAGCTTATATATTTTATACTTATTGCACTGTAAGCGTTTTTTTCCCAGAAGGCTCTCTAGCTAGTTAATTGATACTCTTTGGCTACTTTACAGGAAATAATCTTAGGGAGCAGTGGCAATCAAAAGGGAAATTCTTATTTTAACACGGTGACATGCTGTGACAGATATATTCCAAACATGTTGAATGCTTCACTGTCGCAAAACATTGTAAAATGCTTCTTGCTCTTGCAATATGGGAAAATTAGACATCAGATACTAGTCAGGAATGGAGTGGAGTATGAATGAGGCCAATTTGACCCTTCACCAAAAACACAACCCGCACCTGAATGGAAACACTTTTGAAGTTTAGAAGAGTTTAATGAATGGGATCTGGACGTGGTGTAGAAAACTCTAACCCATTTTTCTCTCTAAATGTTCTTTTGCAAAGGCCACTCTAGTGTAATTTGTGCAACAACCAAAAAAGTTTTACCACCTCGCAACAGAAATGTAAGTGCAGCGCTACTATGCATCTATCCAACAGGGTCACCTGGTGCTTTTTTCTCTTTGATTGTGTATCCCACACACCTCCCGGGTGCGGTGTTCTGTCCCATCTAGTGGCACCAAGACCACTTAGAGAGAGAGAGAGAGAGAGAGAGAGAGAGATTAATGAGTTTGCTCTACAGCCTTAGCTAACAGCCATATGGTTTTTAACTCATGCAGCAAAGGCTCATGCGTTTAGCTCCAGAGGATCCAGGTTTGATCCTGCCCGCCGACAACCGGGGTCTGTCAGTGTTACAATTGTAAGCATCTTGAGGCAGAGACTATGTCTTGCTCTATGTTCTGCTTAGCACAAGCCCAACCCCACCATCAGTACTCCAACACATAAAGAATAATATTCTTTCTAATTTAGGGTCTTGACCCAGAAAACACTCATGAACAAGAGTAACTTTACTCTAGTGAGTTCAGTGAGACTACTTATATGAGTATTTGTAACATTGGCACCAATAGGCCCCAACCATGTGAAGATTTAGTGTGTGTGTGCTTAACTTTCGGTGCTGTTAGTAGTCCTAACTTCTTTTGGCAGACAGACGGCTTTTCTGTATGTCTGTACAGTCCCATGCACCCCAGTTATGTTACATAATTCATAAAGCTGGCTGAAATCTATTCATTGAACACATTACTGGACACATATAGCATTTTATGGAATTGTATATTCAACTGATCCATTTTTCTGGTATTTGACCAGGTGTAATGAATGATCCTAAAAATACAAAATTTATATAAGCATCTCAACTTGTGGCTGGTTTTCTGTACTGAAGCACTGAACTTTTATAGGGTTTCTTGTCACAGATATCAGTGCCTCTATGTCTTGCTTCTGTTTAAAATAATCTGATATGCTGTAGCAAGCTGGGAACCCCCTTACTTTTCTTCAGAATTCTCATACATGATGGGTGTAGGTGAGCTACCTTTCTATGCTATTGGAGAGTAAAAGCAAACAAAATATATGATTTAATTTATATTGTACAAATGAAAGCTGCAGAGTAATTAATTAGTTTGACACTTTATTGGAGATGTGACAAAAAATCCCTGTCACAAAGAATCTTTACAGTGGCACATATCGAAGAATAAAAGATGGGGTTTTTTTAACAAATTCATTAGAATGACTACACAAATCAGCAACACATTTTTCGACTTCAGCACTGATGAATTTCTGGATTTTATTCATAACTTCCTTATGAGCCACAGGCAGTAACAGAATGAGATCAATACTAAGCTGGGTGGGAGACAAAATCGGGTCTTTCCATAGCTTCAGTCTTTGAACCATCCAAATAAATATGTAGGTTTCCAACAATCCACTCCCATATCAAGTGAATCTGGCATCCTGATGATTTGGACTGGTCCAATTCAGCTTACTTTGATGCATTAGGATTACCCAGAGCTAGTTGAAGGCCCCTTAGAAAACAGTAAGTTGTGAAAAAAGTGTGTAACACAACTATTTGAGTTTTTGCAGATGTGACAAAACAGTCAATGATCATTTTGCAATTTCACCACAATTTGTAACAAATAATACAAATACATAATAGAATTCATACACTATTCAGAAAATAAAGAAGCACATACAGTATTGTTAAAATTCACAGCAACTTTTACTTCAAATATTTATGCACTGTTGAAATAATTAGTTTGTTCCATAGTGGTAAAGTTCAGGCCTGTTTTTTTATGTATGTGTTTTTTAAAATTGATCAGGATCTCTTTTATGCTTGTAAAGGCTAAAGGACTGATCCCAGTAGGTGCTGTGCAATAGGAGTTACTGGTACTTAGTGACCCTCAGAACCAGTCCTTCAGTCAGTTGTATTAGGCTTTGAACCTGGATGGCTGAAGTCAGTAGGATCAATATGCCATTGATTTTAATGGGAGCTTGATCAGACCCTTTTAGAATAAATCGGAACTGCTTTGCGCTAACCTTAACTCTGACCTGAAAAAGCTACACTAATTCTTTTTCTGTTCTGAGAATACTTGTGTGTAAAGAAAATTGTACTAAATTGCAGGGTATTTTATTTGCTCTCCAGTAAAATCTGTATAAGAACTTCAATTTGCATACAGACCGTACTTCCAGAGATTAGGTGCCGGAGCTGTATCTAATATGCCAACCATCATGGTTTAAAATTATATGTCTAAATATCAATGCACTAATCCAATCTTCTTTTTATATGAATTTCATTCACTGAGAATTCACTGAGATAGATATTGCAACATTACTATCATTCAAGACATCATTTCCAAACTGAATGTTGTAAACATAAGCTAAGTAACTTGCTAAGCAATAATATTTGAAAATAAATAGTTCACTACTCCATTTGGTAATGACATCTAGTCTCTTCCAGTTCAAGCAGACAAGTTTTGCTGTAGTACTATTATTGAGATTATACTCAAACAACTGTATAAATGAAACAGACAGTATAGAATCATAGAATATCAGGGTTGGAAGGGACCTCAGGAGGTCATCTAGTTCAACTCCCTGGTCAAAGCAGGATCAATCCCCAACTAAATCATTCCAGCCAGGGTTTTGTCAAGCCTGACCTTAAAAATATCTAAGGAAGGAGATTCCACCACCTCCCTAGGTAACGCATTCCAGTGTTTCATCACCCTCCTAGGGAAAAAGTTTTTCCTAATATCCAACCTAAACCTCCCCCACTGCAACTTGAGACCATTACTCCTTGTTCTGTCATCAGCTACCACTGAGAACAGTCTAGCTCCATCCTCTTTGGAACCCTCTTTCAGGTAGTTGAAAGCAGCTATCAAATCCCCCCTCATTCTTCTCTTCTGCAGACTAAACAATCCCAGTTCCCTCAGCCTCTCCATGTGTCATGTATCTCTATCCTTGTAATCAGTACAAGGATGAAAAAAGCAGATCAGTGTTATAAACAAAATTGCAAAGAAATAAATTGATAAGTTACAATAGTTAGAATGAGATGGGGCACAATTTCTAAATGGTTAATTGTAATGCATATAACATTAAAATACAGTTAATGAATAATGCGTACATATCTATATTTAATCACAACAAATGAATCTAAAACAAAGGGCCATATTTTCTAAAACGGTATCTGAAGTGCACACATAATGTGTGTAAAATCACTTGTGCCCACAGTTTTACATGTGTAATCATTTCTGTCTGCAAAAGAGATTTTAGGCATGCAAATGATTTGTTGTTTTTGTTTATTGCAGGCCCAAATGATTTTGCATGCAAAATTGTGGGTGCAAATTTAGAGGCTTTTTTGATACACCATTAAGATGTGGGCCTAATTTGAACCCACAGAACATGGAAATATGGGCAAAAAACAATGATATTCAGTTTTTCGCAAAAGTGTAAATTAAGGGCCAAATTTGTGCTCTGGTGTAAATCCAGAGTTATTCCAGTGAAATCAAGGCCCTGAAAGCAGCAAAAAATAAAAGCACAATTTGGCTCAGAGTGACTCAAGAATGTTTAGCTCCGCTCTCAATATGCTCACTTCTCATACAATAACATAACTTTAATGTAGTTGTATGTGGTTTGTTTTTCTTCGGTTTGTTGACTTTTATAACAGATTTTAAAACCCACTTCTAGCTCTCATTGCAACCTCTGGCAAGAACTAAAGGAATGGGATATATTTCAGACCAACAACAATATTTTCAAGTATTCATATTGCAATACAGAGAAATAAAATATTCTTCTTCAGGAGAACATAAGCTTGTCATTGCATGAGTCACAAAGGAAGATTTCTCCCAGCAGAAAGCACTGCACAAGTATCTAGCTGTACTGTGGGGTTTCCCACCCCCAGCCTCCTCTAAAGTAAAGTCAAGGCTAGTGGCGGGATATTGAAGTTGATGCACAAATTGCCTGATATAGTATGGCAAATACTACCAGTCAAATTCATCCTGGGTGTAACATCGGTTTCACTGGTGTTATACCAGGGATAGATTAACCATGCTAATAAAATACACATCTTCCTCTCTGTTCCTTATTTGACTTATCCAGTCACTCAATTTCTCTGTCCCTGTGACTCCTGCACCATCATTTTTCAGCATAATCATAGATCCATAGAAATATAGAGCTGGAAGGCTCTTGAGAGAGCTTCAAGTTCAGCCTCCTGCTTGGAAGGAGCTCATCCCCGATGGGTGTTTGTCTAATTTGTTCTTAAAAACCTCCCATGAGGGGGGGATTCCACAATCTCCCTTGGAAGCCTGTTCGAGAGCTTAACTATCCTTATAATTAGAAAGCTTTTCCTAATATCTAACCTAAATCTCCATTGCTGCAGATTAAGCCCTTTACTTCTTGTCCGACCTTTAGTGGACATGTACAACAATTATAACAGCCCTTAACATATCTGAAGACAGTTAGCAGGTCCCTACTCAATCTTCTTTTCCCAATTCTAAACATGCCTAGTTCTTTTTTTAACCTTTCCTCATAGGTCAGGTTTTCTAAACGTTTATCATTTTTGATGCTGTCATCTGGACTCTTTCCAATTTATCCAGATCTTTCCTAAAGAGTAGTGCCCAGAATTGGACACAATATAGAATAGAATATCAGGGTTGGAAGGGACCTCAGGAGATCATCTAGTCCAACCCCCTGCTCAAAGCAGAGCCAATCCCCAATTTTTGCCCCAGATCCCTAAATGGCCCCCTCAAGGATTGAACTCACAATCCTGGGTTTAGCAGGCCAATGCTCAAACCACTGAGCTATCCCTCCCCCCCGCTGAGGCCTCACTACTGCCGAGTGGAGTAGGATAATTACCACCCAAGTGTTGCATATGACAGTCCTGTTAATGCACCCCAGAATAATATTAGCCTTTTTAGCAGCTGCATCACATTGTTGGCTCATATTCAATTTGTGATCCACTATAACCCTCAGATCCTAAGCAGTTAGGTGATAGTACTGCTGAAAAGGATTTGGGGGTTATATGTATTTTTCAGTTGTGCCTTTGATTTAACTTCCTAATTCTTGTTGATTTCAGTCCAGTTCTTTAATATGTCAAAGTCATTTTGAATTTTAATCCTGCCCTCTAAAGTGCTTGCAACCCCTCTTAGCTTGAGTCATCCACAAAATTGATAAGCTTCCTCTCCACTCCATTATCCAGGTCACAAATTAAAATATTGAATGGTACCAGACCCAGGATTGGCCCCTGCAGGATTCCACTAGAAATGCCTTCTCAGTTTGACAGCGAACTATCGATAACTTCTCTTTGAGTATGGTCTTTCAACCAGTTGTACATCTACCTTATAATAATTCCAGCTAGACCACATTTGCTTATGACAATGTCATGTGGGACTTTGTCAAAAGCCTTACTAAAATGAAGATATATAGTCAAAGAAGGAAATTAGGTTGGTTTGGCATGATTTGCGCTTGACAAATCCATGCTGGCTATTCCTTATAACCCTATTATCCTATGGTGCTTACAAATTGATTGTTTAGTAATTTGTTTCAGTGTCTTTCCAGATATCGAAGTTAGGCAGACTAGTCTATAATTCCACTGATCTATACTGTTAATGCTTGTTTCACTATGCACTGTAATATCATTTCCCATCTAATAGAGATAGCATTGTATAAAAAAGTCTATTTAAGATTTTGTTAGAAGTACAATAAGACTAATAAGGCTTGAAGTCAACATGAATTGTTGGAGCTTTATATAACCACTTAAATGTCCACTAGAGGGACTTCATGTTTATTATTAAATTAAAAATCATATTAATTTAATTTTTTAAAATAGTTCAGTATACTAATACATGTTTCTAGCAAGGACAGCAAGCATTTAGGGCTGATCCTGCACATATTTTCTATTATGTGGAGAGGCTACTATTGTGAGCATTCTTATTGACTTCAGGGATTGGGAGATGAGGGGGAGAGATCTGCCCTTAAATATTTATAATTACCACAAGCAATCTAAAACTGTACTTTTAGAAAGAGAGGCTAGCACTTGGAAGACGAGATACTGGCCTAGATGGACCATTGGTCTGAACGAGTATGGGCATTCTTATGTTCTTATTTTCACACTTGAAGCCATGTGATAAGGGTTATGTGTTACATACACACAGGATTGGCTTCATAGAAATAACACAAAGGTAGTTCAGCATATTCTCAGGAATCTGGAAAAATATTTAGGCTACAGTTGCACAAACCTGTACATGCTTAACCTGATGCACTTAAACTCAATAGGTCACAGTGCATTGGACTAAGCATCTGCATAATTATTTTGCAGATTAAGGGCCTTCAGTTGTTATTTGTTAGCTGATGGTAGCTAGGTTGTGGGGCACTTGGGGATAGCTGATTTTGTTTTCAAAAAACTTTCAGATGACAACTTGTGAGAATAGCTAATGATGAACTTATTATTGTTATTATGTTCCTCCTCCCTCCAATCTTCTGTCCTACTGATTATCACACTCACTTTGTTTCAAATGTTATGATCTTCCTGTGCATTTGTACAGTGCTTAGCACAATGGGCTTTCAGTCTAATATAGTAATAATAATCTTGACAGTTAAGCAGACTAGTTTCTGTTTCAGCAGATTCACCGGTCCTATCATGTCCACTCAATTTCTCTTTTATTTTATTTATTGGACCTGTATAGAGGGATGTGTGAAAAAGAGCCTGACATTACATATAACAAAAGGATGTTATCCACTACTTTATCTTTTCCTATCCATCATACCTCCAACACATACTATTATTATTATGGTTCAGGAATAACCTATGAATCCAGTTCTGCAGTTTTGATTTTACCATACACTTGGTTTTGCCTAGTTGGAATTTTTTTGATGGCATAGCACTATAAAATTGCATTTATATTTTTCATCTCTGCTGAATAAACATAAATGCCTATGTAAGATTGCCCAGAAAATCTTATTTTATTATGTCATTTGTGAAACTTACTCAGGTGGCTATTCCTTTTAATTTCTCTTGTAGTCAGATACCCATAGTTTAAGGCCATCACTTATGTTGAAAAATGAAATAGTAGAGAGCTGAAATTGTATTTTCAAACCTGGAGGGAAAAAATTGTTCATATTGAACATCTTCACTATACAGTATTAAATCTTAAAAAGGTTTTTGTCATGAGATATAATCACCTAGTACTCTACAGAGGAAAACTTGTTTTCTCCTGTTCTGACCATTGAGCTTCTGCTGAGCTTTCTTGTTTGATTTTTGTGTGGCCTATTTTGAATTTTTTTCCATGTTATTTCCAAAGTACCCTAATGATGCTGAACACTCCCTTTCACTTGATTCCCTATGTGCTGAGATACCAAAGTGATGGGGGCATTTCAATAGAGAGAATGTTAAATATGCAGGGTGGCCTGTGTTGATTAGTGAGATGGGCAGAATTCAATTTTTATTTTTGTACAGTTTTGATGGACAATATAAATGTTCATTTTAAAGGATTTTTTTTATTTTTTATCAATTTAAATTTTCACAGTTGTACAAAATTATGGGGTTTGTGCATTTTTTCCTGTTTTTATCCATTGAAATTTTCACACTTGTGGCAAATTGGAGTGTGTGTCACACAATGGCGGGGTCAGCCAATAATTTATTTAATGGCTGTAGATGCTGGGATTTAAAAACGTAAAGCTTTATAATGGTTAAAACACAAATTGTCAATATCACACATCATAATTTACAAAGTAAATATCCTGAAATCAAACTCTAAGTTCTCAAGCAGAATTTTTCTGCTTTTGCCTATCTGTAAATTTTGATGATTAGTGATGGAAATATTTTTCCATTGGTTTGTATGTGTGTGGTGAAATCGATGTTTACCTACTGTGACAGGGCACCTGCCCTGCACTGGCCATGAGAGGGTTAAAACCAGCCTAGGGAGGCTGAGCGGCAGGCAGTGAAAGGAGGGGCTGCAGGGGAAACAGCCAAATTAGGGTGGCAGCTGCAGACAAGTAGGGCAGCGGCTGGACCAGCCAATCAGGGCCTGGTTGGCCCATATATAAAAGGAAGCTGCAGAACAGATTGAGGGAGTCTGCTGCAGGGAGCCCTAGGGAGAAGACTGGCTTCCTAGAGGGCTCCTGGCAGGCTGCCAGGACTTACAGGCTCAAGGCCCTGGGAAGAGGGCAAAGGAACTGGAGCCAGAGCAGAAGGAACTGAGGCTGTGGGAAGTGACCCAGGAAATAGAGACAGTGAGCTGGAAGGAAGAGGCAGCAGGAAGCTGCTGTTTTGCAGGGTCCCTGGGATGGGGCCCAGAGTAGTAGGTGGGGCTGGGCCCACCCCCCACTAGCTGCTGAAGGAGCAGCAAGGCCTTGGACTGCCAAGCTGCTGCAAGGAGTGGCAAGACTCTTGTTCAAGGAGTCCCCCGGAAGGGGGAGAAATGGGATGGTGACACGGCTGGAGGGCTGTGCCACAAAGCAGATGCCGAGAGGAAGGAGCCGTAATGGCTCTGCAGGCAGAGGTGAGGATGAGAGAGCCACCACCAACTAAGGCCACACCTGCTGGGACTGAGCTAATTCCCAAAATGCCCAGCAGGAGGTGCCAGTGTGGTGAGTGACCCTGTGACACCAACATTTACCGATTAAAAAATCTAATTCTTCCAAGCCCACTAATAAGGTAAGTCAGACTGAAAAGACTCATCATTCTCCATTTAAAAAAAAATGACTGCACTTAAGGAAGAGTTTTAAGAAGAACCTACAATATTGAAGATTTTTTTAAATTAAATTTTTGGGAAAATCTTGAAATATTTTGAAATTTCAAACTTTAAATGTTGAGAGAAAATAGGACAAAGTTTGAACTTTTTTTATCATTTTTTCTCCTTTTTCTCAGCCAGTGCTAGGCATTATCAATATGGAAGCTTCAATCCACTTGTAGCGATCTGAGAGAGACTTGCTGTTGAGCCAAGTTAAAATTAACTAGCAGAACATGTAAGTCTGCTCCAGTACTTTTGAGTACAGAGCAGGTATCCATAGGATTGAGTATGAGTAGACACTTGTATGGCAAGTAGTGTGTCTGTATACCAGCTGATTAAAATATAAGACTTTGAAAAGCTTTATACAGATTTTGTTTTCTTGTTTATTCCCAGCTGTGAATTTATTGAATGTTTTTCCTATTTCATGCTATGAAAAGTAAGAAAATGGATTTCATGCTCTTTACCATCAGAAATCTATTCATTAAAGTGTGTCATGATCTTACAATTAGATTCACTCTAATCTGAAATTAGGGAGTCCATGCCAGACAATAACTGTAACCAGCAATGGCTCTGACTGTTCTCTAACCTTTGACCCAAGATTGTTTCTTTAAAAAAATAGTGAGTCAAATAGCCTGTGAGATTCTGACTGAGCGCTCTAGGAAAAGTGATGAGTGCTCTCAATTCAGCACCTTTCAGGAGGCATTCATTGCCTTGCAGTTTTGAGCATGGAAACATTGCACTTTTAGAAATGTCAGTCAGATCAGCCTACTTTTGTCAGATGGACATCAGGTTTAGTTTGATTTCACTGGCAGAGAAAATACATTTGCAAACTTCTTGCTATATTTGATAGATCAGCATAAACAGAGCCTGATCCTGAAGTCTCTGCTTAGGCAAAAACGTCCATTGAACTCTGAATTGATGATTCACGATGTCAAATGGGAATTTTGCCTGAGTAAAGACTTCAAAATCAGTGCTAAAGTGTGCCTGACCTTTTAAAAGAGAGCATGAGAACTTAGGCCACAATTCAGCATACATGTAACACTAAGCAAATCTGTCATCCCACTGAAGTCAACTCTCATGCTAAACTTATACACACACTAAGGTAATTGGATGAATCATGCCCATAGCATGTTTTCTCCGGCCCCATGAGCCTGCTTTTGCTTAAAGCAAGAAAACTGGTGTGTAGAGATGTACAGCAGCTCCTGGGTTCTGTAAGCAGAAACAACTCTCGGTTTAACACAGGCTGTCGTAAATATTGCATCAAAATATTAATGAAGACCAGAGTGATCCAGAATGGCAAAATCCTTAGGCCTGAAATTAAGAGAAGAAGCGGTATGGAAAGAGAAACATCTTTCTTCATTCTCACATCACCTGTAAAAGGACATGGAAAAAATAGTTACTCTGTGGATCATCTGTTGTGAGATCAGAGGAGTAAATGAGACCATGACACTATTTCAGTCATACTGCACGAAAAGCCATCACAAAGCCAGTAACATTAGGCACCATTAGAGCCAGGTAAATTTTTTTGGCCAAAACTTCTTGTCAGCAAACAATGTAGCTTAAGTGACACCAAAATATTTCACTAATTCTTGCTGGTTATCTCCAAATTGTTCATGTTGGAAAAAAGGCAAACAAAACAAAAATCCAAAGAAATCAAAATGTTTCATTTTTGACATTTTTGAAATGTTCTGAATTTTTTTATTGAAGATTACTTTTAATTTAGAAATTTCCTTCCATTTTATTTTTTTTAAAGTAAAAAACAACTTGAGATCAAAATGAAATGTTTAATTTGGGTCAACATTTCATTTGACCCAAAACAATTGTTCTTTAACTTTGATTCACTGAGAATTTTGAAAAATGTTGGTTTTGGGTTGTGCCAAAAGGATACTTTTTTATTTTTCAGAATTGTCAGTGAACCAAATCAATTATTCAGAGCTCTATTTTATGTGGGTGTTTGGGAAATTAGCACCTCCTGGGTTGTGCCAGCTATATGTGTGTAGGTGTGGTAGATGAGGAAAGCATAGTTTACCCCTAAATTGTGGAACTTAGTTACGGATATGTGTCGGGACGGTGTGTAAGTGGTTGCAGAGTGGGCCCACAAGAGAATGCCACACCTCTTTCATGCAGAGGAGCTGGACCCATGCCAGCTGTGCATAAGTCTCCATGGATGGGAATTTTGGGGCAGGACATAGTCAGAAGCACTGGGGTCACAATAAAACGATCATGATATCTCCAGTGCACTCATATGAAGTACATAAGGCTTGCAGCCCTATTCCAATGGTTGGAATAACAGCCATGGATGGGCTGCACCATTGCCCCATTTTCTGACCACAGAAGGAGTGAAATGCACAGCCTTCCACCAACAGATGACACTGACTTATGGCTTGATCCTAAAAGATGGTGTGCACCTCCTGTGAGCTGTTGAGTGCCTTGAACTCCCATAGCTGCATTCCATCAATGAGTACTGAGGGAGCTCAGTACCTTGCATGACTGGGCTTTTTGGCCAAGTGTGTAGGAGTAAGGAATTTTACTCCAATTCGTTTGGTAGGGAGAAGGTGATTTGATTCCCACTCAACCAATGCAGTGTTGACTGTCATTCTGGTAAATCCAGTGCTTTAAAAGCATAGCACTGTATGCTTCTGGGAAAAACTAATGCTTCTCTTCTTCTTTTATTTGTGCAAAAGTTTGATTTCCAATATTTTTTAAGGACTAGACAGCTGTCAAAGGTATAAAGGCAGCATCTGTTCACTAGCAGATACTTTGTAGATAATTGGCAATTGCTGCAGAACTGTCCAAAAGAATTTGCCATATAAAATGTGTTGTGATAACTTTGATGTTTGTTGTTTTGGTGGAAAACAGCAACAAAAAAATCCCAACTCTTAGCAAGGGTAATTTTTATCAAATAAACAAAAACTACCTTTTTGTTTAACAAAATTAGGAAGTTTCATGATATCTGAGAACAAATTTGTGAAACGTATCAAACTGAAAAAATTCAGGAAAAATGCCTCAAAAATGAGAAAGTAGTTGAGGAAGTCATTAATGGTAAATTCACAAAATTGAGCAATAGTTGAAATTTTGGACTGCAAACTATTTGCATATTTCACACTTTTAATGTGAATTTTAGTTTTAAATCTGCAAAAAGAACGTTCAGAATAGTTCTTAAAGGTAAAGAATACCATATGCTAATGGAGTAGGGTAAAGTATTCTATTTTTCTGCTTTCTGCAGGTACAAATGTGTTTTTAACTCTCCTTGTATATCTTCACAAGAAATTTCTTGGGCCCAGATCCTCAGCTGGTATAAATTAATGTAGCTCCATTGAAGTAAATGGAGTTGTGCTGATTTACACCAGATGAGGGTTTTTGTAATCTGGTTCCTTATATACTAAATATACACAATGTATTAATTTCTGCTAAATGTTACCTCAGAGGATAAACACGTATCATCAAAGGACACTTTTGTTGGGGACAGATAGGTGTTGGTGACAGTAATGTCTTCTAGTTCAGTGCTGAAGTGATCAGACTCCTTGATGGCACTGTAGTTTAGGGCCACACTGTAACTGGCAGGTTTCTCTGACTGCTTCTGCTGGCAATTGCAGAGTTTCTTGAAGGACGCTCTGAATTTCTGGGACATGAGATTGTAAATCACGGGGTTGATGGCACTGTTTAGATAAATGCAGATTCTACAAAATAATAGGAACCAATTTTCTTGGAAAGGGTTGGAGAGAAAGGAGTTTACAACAACCAGTGTCCTATAGGGCATCCATAAAAATGCAAACAGGATCACAACCACAGCCAGCATCTTGGTAACCTATGGAAAACACAAAGATATACAGTGAAAAAGTAGAAAATCAGTACTCAGTGCTTTGTAGGGATGTGCATATAAAATTTGTATTATATGTTCATGATGGACCCAACCTAAAACTCTATATGTGAAAAACCCTGAATTGGTGATGTTCAGATCAATGTCTGGCTCTTGGTTAGAATTTTGCAACTTGTCCCTATCTCCTTACCACTATAATGGGCTGACCCAAATTCATGGATCCAAACTCTCCTGAACTTTCATAAGAGATGGATGAGTCCTTATGGCTAACATTCATATTATTCAATTAATATCCAATTAATCCCCATTAAACATATTATTTTAGGTCTGAGTCTTTGCAACAACCATAGTTAGAAACAAGTGTCTACTCCCTTGGAAGGAAAGGCACTCCCATCCTCCCTTCAATGCTATGGAGCACCTACTTCTAGCACTGATTGTTTCTGACATATTGTAACTGAAACCAACCTACCTACTTTAATGACGACTATTGCGTAATAGCAGTTAGCCACATTTAATACAAAGAAGTCTGATTTTAGATTTGTTTCTAATAAAAACAATTAATTCAGACATAAGTTCTGACCAAATGATTGATACATAATATTCTGAAACTCTTAATGATTGCCTTAAAATTGCGGGTTACCCTTAGAACATAATAATCTTAGAAAAACTCGCTTTTTTCACTTAGACAAGGTGGGTGAGGTAATATCTTTTATAGGACCAACTTCTGTTGGTGAAAGAGAGAAGCTTCTGAGTTTACATAGAGCTCTTCCTCAGGTCTGGAAAATGTACTCAGAGGGTATGTCTACACTGCAATAAAACACACATGCTTTGGGACCCTGGATGGCTCAGCATGAGCCCAAATGTCTACACGGCAATTTTATAGCTCTACAACCCAAGCCCCACGAACCCGAGTTAGCTGATGTGGGCCAACAGTGGGTGTTTTATTGAAGTGCAGACATATCCAGGCTGTCACAGGTAAATACATGGTGAAACAGATTGTTAACACATGTTGCAAAAGACCTTTTAAGGTGAAGGGGCAGTTAACACCTCACGGTTGTAGGACAAAAGATGGTTAGTAGGTTACAGATTGTAATGAGCCATAAATCCAGTGCCTTTATTGAGTCCATGATTTGTAGTATCTAGCAAAGTTATGAATTTAAATTCCCAGGCTCACCTATTGAAGGTGTTGCGCAGATTGCCTTTGAGGATGAGGACTGAGAGGTCAGATGTGGAGTGATCATTTTCTGAAAAGTGTTCACCCACAGATAATAGGGTGTGTCTGTCATGTAAGATTTTATTACTTAAGTAAGTTTGCTTAGAAAGAATGGCAATGAAAAACTCTCCCTTGAGGGAATCCCAAAAAATTGAAGTAAAGCCAATAAAAAATAAAAGTGAAAAATGGGGGCAGTAAAAACAAAACAATGCGTAAATCAATATAGAATTACGGCCACTGTGTATGTGGGAAATGGGTAGAGTGGGGACTCTTTCTGGTGAACTAGGAATGTCGTCTTTTAAAGTGCTTCTTTGTATGTTGCCATCTCTTGTTGAAAAAATGCAGTTGCATCTTGCTGACAAATTAATGGATTTTCCCTTTCCCTGCTCATTGATGCTGTTGCACTTTACACGCTTTCTCAGGGTAGCTGTGGCAATAGGACAATGGTACTAAAACTCCTACGATTATACAAGATATTCACAGTATATAATTTCATTGCTCCTAGGGTGACGATGTAGGCGTGTGGGATATAAATTTTTATTGACTCTGCAGGAGGACTGAAAGTTACTTCTGTAACTCTCCTATTGACACTAATATTGTATTTTTAGTTGTGCTGTTTTTTGTGTCTTTGTTTAAAGAAATAGGATGTATACTTTTCTTGCCTCTTGTGATCAGATTTTTCATTATGTAGAAAATATGCAGTCTCATTGCCTGAGGTATATGTTTTCTCCTATCTGGCTAGAAGCCCATATATTCCAGATGTACATATTTAAATATACTTATAAGTGTTGTTTTTTTACTTATGGGTGTTGATGGTAACGTATCCAGTTGAGAGTCTTATAATTTAACTTTTACAAAAAGAAAAGGAGTACTTGTGGCATCTTAGAGCTCACTGCATCGGATGCTCACAAAAGCTTACACTCAGATAAATTTGTTAGTCTCTAAGGTGCCACAAGTACTCCTTTTCTTTTTGCAAATACAGACTAACACAGCTGCTACTCTGAAACTTAACTTTTACAGTTTAGGGCACTGCTTTATTTGCCGCTTTCTGGTCACAGTCTTACAGCAGTGTTACAAAAAAATCTTGGTTGGCTAAAACAGATTCTTGTTAGACAGAAGTAAAAAGAAGAGAGATAGGAAAGAGAAGAAATAAGGAAGGGAAGGAAACAGACACATGGGAGGGGAGGGAGGCAAAGTTTCCATTCCAGGTGGTGTTTGGGATTCACATAGAGCTGGTAGAGGCAGTGATGTCATCTGGTTCCCTCTCTCTGGCCTGGTCTGGTCAGGACATCTCTCAGGATTAGGAAGAAGAAGATTCAAGGTCCCAGGTGATGTTGGGGGTGGAAGCCTTGATGGTGAAGCTTGCTCCAGTAGCCAATTTTTTTCCTCAAAGTCTGTTTAAGGACTGCAAAAGTGAGTGATGGGCAGAATAGCCCATCCTCATTATTTTGTCCACCATTTGTCCATGGGGGAAAGCCCATTGCTGCAGAGGAGCACATGGATCCGACAGACTTCTCTTAGAGGAGAGTCTATTGATAGAGACTCTCTAGGTTTTAGTCAGGAGGAGAGGATGGAAGAGGATAAAGTATGGGCCAGATCAGACAAAACATTCACATAAAGAATCTGACACATCAGAAAAGGGCAGACAAATAAACAGTGACAAGTTTTAAAAGTGCTTGTACACAAATACTAGAAGTCTAAATAATAAGATGGGTGAACCTAGAGTGCCTCATGTTAAAGGAGGATATTGATATAATAGGCATCACAGAAACCTGGTGGAGTGAAGACAATCAATGGGACACAAACATTCTGGGGTACAAAATATATTGGAAGGACAGAACAGGTTGGGGGGCGGGGGGAGTGGCACTATATGTGAAAGAAAATGTAGAATCAAATGAAGTAAAAATCTTAAATGAATCCACATGTTCCATAGAATCTCTATGGATAGTAATTCCATGCTCTTATAAGAATAGAACAGTAGGGATCTATTATCGACCACCTGACCAGGATAGTGATAGTGACTATGAAATGCTAAGGGAGATTAGAGAGGCTACCAAAATAAAGAACTCAATAATAGTGTGGGATTTCAATTATCCCCATATTGACTGGGTACATGTCACCTCAGGATGACAAAATTTCTTGATACTTTAAATAATTACTTCTTGGAGCAGCTGGTACAGGAACCCACAAGGGGAGAGGCAATTCTCAATTTAGTCCTGAGTGGAGCGCAGGATCTGGTCCAGGAGGTAACTATAACAGGACTGCTTGGAAATAGTGACCATAATATAACAACATTTAACATTCCTGTGATGGGAAGAACACCTCAGCAGCCTAACACTGTGGCATTTAATTTCAGAAAGGGGAGCTATGGAAAAATGAGAAGCTTAGTTAAACAGAAATTAAAAGGTACAGTGACTAGAGTGAAATCCCTGCAAGCTGCAAGGACACTTTTCAAAGATACCATAATAGAAGCCCAACTTAAATGTATACCCCAAATTAAAAAAACAGTAGAAGAACTAAAAAAGAGCCACCACGGCTTAACAACCATGTAAAAGAAGCAGTGAAAATAAAAGGCATCTTTTAAAAAGTCGAAGTCAAATCCTAGTGTGGTAAATAGAAAGGAGCATAAACACTGCCTAATTAAGTGTAAAAATGTAATAAGAAAAGCCAAATAGGAGTTTGAAGAACAGATTGTCATTACCTTTTGAGTTTTTGGCTAAATGTTTAAGTACATCAGAAGCAGGAAGTCTGCTAAACAACCAGTGGGGCCCCTGGACGATCAAGATACAACAGGAGCACTTAAAAATGATAAAGTCATTGCGAAGAAACTAAATGAATTTTTTGCTTCAGTCTTCACGGCTGAGGATGTTAGGGAGATTCCCAAACCTGAGTCGTCCTTCGTAGGTGACAAATCTGAGGAATTGTCACAGATTGAAGTGTCGTTAGAGGAGGTTTTGGAATTAATTGATAAATTTAAGAGTAACAAGACACTGGGACCAGATGACCCAAGTGTTTTGAAAGAACGCAAATGTGAAATTGCGGAACTATTAACTATGGTTTGTAACCTGTCCTTTAAATCGACTTCTGTACCCAATGACTGGAAGAGAGCTAATGTAACGCCAATATTTAAAAAGAGCTCTAGCGGTGATCCCGGCAATTACAGACCGGTAAGTCTAACGTCAGAACTGGGCAAATTAGTTGAGACAGTAGTAAAGAATAAAATTGTCAGACACATAGAAGAACATAAATTGTTGGGCAAAAGTCAACATGGTTTCTGTCTTACTAATCTATTAGAGTTCTTTGAAGGGGTCAACAAACATATGGACAAGGGGGATTCAGTGGACATAGTGTATTTAGATTTCCAGAAAGCCTTCGACAAGGTCCCTCACCAAAGGCTCTTAGGTAAATTAAGTTGTCATGGGATAAGAGGGAAGATCCTTTCATGGATTGAGAACTGGTTAAAAGACAGGGAACAAAGGGTAGGGATAAATGGTAGATTTTCAGACTGGAGAGGGGTAACTAGTGGTGTTCCCCAAGGGTCAGTCCCAGGACCAATCCTATTCAACTTATTCATAAATGATCTGGAGAAAGGGGTAAACAGTGAGGTGGCAAAATTTGCAGATGATACTAAACTGCTCAAGCTAGTTAAGACCAAAGCAGACTGTGAAGAACTTCAAAAAGATCTCACAAAACTAAGTGATTGGGCAACAAAATGGAAAACGAAATTTAATGTGGATAAATGTAAAGTAATGCACATTGGAAAAAACAACCCCAA